TCTAGACTACGCTGCTAGCCTTGTCGCTGAGTCAGAGTCTGCGTCTGTCTGTCCTCCGTCCGTCGGGGGTGAGTGTGCTCTTGGCACGGACGTCCTTGAGGACAGGCAGGAGGACTTTGACTCTCTTGCGGCTGCTGTACCTCATCTCGTGGCCTGGTTGCTTGCCCCTGAGGGAGACCCGGATGCAGTAGACATCCCCACTCCGCGCACTTACGCAGAGGCGATCTCGGGTCCCTACTCCTCTCAGTGGCAGACAGCCATGGACGCAGAGATGGCATCCTGGAAGTCCACAGGCACTTACGTCGACGAGGTTCCCCCTCCTGGGGCGAACATCGTCGATGGCATGTGGATTTTCAGGGTGAAGCGGCCGCCAGGTTCTCCGCCTGTCTTCAAGGCTCGTTACGTTGCTAGAGGCTTCAGTCAGCGTCAGGGGGTCGACTTCTTCCAGACCTTCTCCCCCACCCCGAAGATGACCACTCTTCGGGTTCTGCTGCACGTTGCTGCTCAGCGTGACTACGAGCTTCACTCTCTTGACTTCAGCACAGCGTTCCTGCAGGGCAGCCTGCACGAGGAGATCTGGCTGCGCCGCCCACCTGGCTTTACTGGGTCGTTTCCCCCTGGTACCCAGTGGAGTCTCCGCCGGCCAGTCTACGGTCTCCGCCAGGCGCCACGTGAGTGGCACGACACACTGAGGACTACTCTTGCGGCTCTTGGGTTCGCGCCGTCTACTGCTGACCCGTCGCTGTTTCTGCGCACAGACACGTCGCTGCCGCCGTTCTACATCCTCGTGTACGTCGACGACTTGGTCTTTGCTACTGCTGACACTGAGGCACTCGCTCGTGTGAAGTCGGAGCTGCAGAAGAGACACACCTGCACTGACCTGGGTGAACTGCGTAGCTACCTTGGCTTGCAGATCACCCGGGACAGAGCTCGCCGCACCATCACCCTGACTCAGTCACACATGGTGCAGCAGGTCCTTCAGCGCTTCGGCTTCCAGTTCTCCTCACCACAGGCCACACCTCTGGCTACCAGCCACTCGCTCTCAGCTCCACCTTCGGACGAGTCCGTAGAGCCGAGTGGCCCGTACCCAGAGCTTGTAGGCTGCCTCATGTACCTGATGACTTGCACGCGACCTGACCTCGCGTACCCTCTTAGCATCCTTGCTCGTTACGTTGCGCCTGGGAGACACAGGCGAGAGCACTGGGAGGCTGCTAAGAGGGTGCTGCGTTACCTGTGCAGTACATCAGGCATGGGGCTGGTGCTTGGAGGACGAGACAGAGTTGTCCTCACTGGTCACTCGGACGCCTCTTGGGTGGACGACCTGGCTACGCAGCGGTCGTCACAGGGTTACACCTTCAGCCTTGGCTCAGGTTCTGTCTCGTGGCGGTCCACCCGCTCTTCCTCTGTTCTCGGCTCTAGTTGTGAGGCTGAGATCTACGCCACAGCCATGGCTGCACAGGAGTTACGCTGGCTCACCTACCTGCTGACTGACTTGGGAGAGCGGCCTAGTTCTCCTCCAGTTCTGTATGGTGACAACAAGGCAGCTCTTGCCTTGTGTCAGGAGCACAGACTGGAGCACAGGACGAAGCACATTGCTCTTCGCTACTTTCTTGCTCGAGAGCTTCAGCAGCGCGGTCAGCTTCGGCTTGTGTACGTGGACTCGAAGGCCAACACTGCTGATATCTTCACCAAGGCGCTCCCGCCTAGTGATCATCAGCGGCACTGTACTTCTTTAGGCCTTGTGTCCACGTTTCCTCACTTGCTCACTGCTTGACATTCTTTGTACTGTACTTTATATATATCTTGTTGCTTGCTTGCTAGGTTTTGATCACTGTGTTGCTTGTCTTGTACTATATCTAGCACTGCATGTGAACTGGCCTTGTGGCCTTTACTTGTGCTCGGAGTGTGGTGACGTTGTGATCCACCCTGGGCTTTGCTTTGCTTTGCTGGACTGGTCTTGTGACCCTTTGTTCTCCCCCACTTTGCCTATGGGGGTGTGTTAAACTGTATTATGCTTGTAGGCTGTAGTGGGGTAGCCAATATGGGGTACAACCCCAACTAGGGTTTCATATTTGTACCCAAACTTCTGCTAGTTCATTCATTCTTGCCTAGTGATTCTGACATCTTCGTCATCGCCGCTGCTGCTAGTCTCCGGTTCATAGAACCGGTTGCGCTTAGAGACCAACTGTTTAGGATTCGCCATCTAGAACGAGCACTCACTACCATTCGGAGGACGCTGAGTGATTAATAGGTGAGCACGGAGGGGATGACTGGGTGAGCACAGCTACTCACGGATCTCGCGACAGTGGCCCTATTCGGAATGAAGGGGAGAGCAGGGCGTCACCCATGCCTTTCGTGCCAAGCTGGTGCGAACGTCATGCATATGCTCAATGATCCACACCGTTGGCGGAGAATCGCATACGATGCACCAGGTGTGATTGGACAGCTTGCCTGGATGTGATGGTGAGGTCACATGCAGATCCACGTGTGATGAGCCTAGGGTTTCGGAATACGTGGTCCGAGGTTTGGGTGGGTCACCAAACCTGGTGCATGGTGGTTTGGCCAGTTGTGGCCCGATTTTCTTGTACAATCCGAATGACGCGGAATCCGATAATGACGTACGCGGTAGGGGGCACATGGGTCGTTGTGTTCTTAGGGCGCGCCAAGCCTCGATTATAATCCGTCGTTGTGCTATGGGTTGAGATAATTGTGTACTGGTAGACGCGGTTATTCAATGTCTTACTATAGTTCTATGTTGGGTAAAAAATGGGTGGGTGTATACGTGCATTGCGCGACATTGCATAGGAAATTGCAGAACAACTTTGGGTTCGTGGTGTTTGTATGTACACATATTCAGTCCTTGGTTCTCGACACATCGGGACATGCGTATTTAAAAAAAAAAAAAAAAAAAAAAAAATTAAAGGACGTAGATATAGTGCTTTTATTAAATAGCAATCCTCATGGTGAGGTGTATATTGATTACGTGTAACACATGACCCGTTGTTTCCTGCACACGATTCACGTCTTCCTGCACATGTGTGTGCGCTAAGTTGTTCCTGTGAGTTGTATTAGTGCGCACATGAGGTACTGAACAGGGTTTCGATTGCTGGGCCCCCTAGGGTTTCACGGCTGTAGGATGACGGGCAACAGTTGCCTGGTGTGCGAGACGGTGTTTAAAGACGACAGCAGGTTACAGTCTCACGTCGCTAATGGTGCAGTTTCTCGCGCCGAGTTGAAGAGGAAACGAGAGAGTCTTTTGCTAGCTGCATATTTGGAAGCCCTTGCATGTGACGGAGAGAGCAGACCTAACACACCGCCGGCCTCCCGGCGTAAGGAGAATGATGATGGCAGTTTTGTATCTATTGCTCCAACGGCTTCGCTCCCCGAAGTCAGTCTTGTTGGCGACGAGGATACACCCGCTGACGGCGAACCTGCAGAGTCTTCGGAAGACAGCGTGAGGGCGGAGATTTTCGATACACTGACGGAGTTGTACCTTTTCTTCCGGGACGCCGATCTTTCGCACAGGGAGGTTAACCGTCTGCTACACATTTTCCGCAATCCGCGCTTCAACCTACGGGCCCTCAGACGATGGCGCAACTGGGTGGACGTGCGCCGCTGGGGCATGGCGCGAGCTCCCGCCGACATGGTCCCTTGGAAAACGGAGGAAATAGTGGTGCGGGGCCCCAAAGGAATGCAAATGAAGCTGCTACTGCACTTCCGCGACACAGAGCTGGTTCGTAATAGGAGCCCAACCCAGCTCACGACGTCGTAATGAAGTGTTGCCCGTGACCACCGTTCATTACCTACCATAACTCACACCTGAGTCCACCTCGATGCCCGCAGATTTTGAAGAAGCTGGTGCGGACGTTCTCATCGAAGAAGGGGTTCGTTTGGAAACCAAGGAAGATTCATCGGAAGAAGAACAACGAGAGGGTTTTTGAAGGACCGGAGACGGGTGATTGGATGCACGCTGCCCAGGTACGCGCAGCGTTTAGCCTCTCCCCATTTCTTGTGGATTACAAAACGCACTATGCAGTCGAATACCCACAGCTCACCGACACGTGTGGTGCACATGGCAGAAGGAGATTAATGACGAGGATGCACTCATTCTAGGCGTGCTGATATACAGTGATAGCACCCAGGCATCACGGAATGGCAGGAGGAACGCGTGGCCGGTGCTGATCTCACTTATCAACATTCCGGCGGAATTGCGTGGAGTGGAGCCTGGGCACACATTGGCGGCGGTGCTTCCGTTCCCACCTGAGTGGGCATCGCCTACGGAGAAGACGCGCGTCTTCTAGGAGGCACTAAAGATCATCCTCGCGCCCATCATGCGAGAGTCTGCAAGGTACACTGGGGGAAGAGGGGTGGTGTTGAATATGCTACACGTAGTCGCCCGTGATGGGCACCCCATCAAGTAGTGAGTGGAGAGAGGACACCGAGTTGTGTATATGTGACATCACTAACTGCACACCATCGCGTTCGCATTTGTACACTGCGCAGCGCGCCAGTTCACTTCTTCTACTGCACAGACGCGAACGGTAAGGTGCACAAGGCGGTCCCTTGCCTGTACGGATACCCTACCAACTTCCCTGAGTCCAGCAGAGCATCTGCGACGCTTCAGCAAGGGTCGCATCGACCATGCGCTAACTGCTATGCAGACAAGGGGGAGTTGACCATGATGGTGGGGAAGGTAGATCCACGAACCCCTGAGAAGCAGAGGGACATTGTCCGACAGATCCTGGCGTGTAAGACGCAAAGCCACGCTGACGATGTGCGGAAGTTGTGGTCAACCCATCCGATCGAGGTTTGTTTCGAGTTGGATAGGATCCTGGTGTTGTATCACAGTGGGCACGTTTTGACACCGTCGTGTCCTCCGTTGCACCGTGCAGTGCGTGCTTCACAGGTGGAATTTCGCAGACACAGAGTGGGGCAACGTGTATCTGGCATGCCTTGCAGACACACTGCATGTTCTGGACTCTGGTGTGCTGATCCACATGATGGACACCTACATAGAGCCGCTCGGGAAGGTTGAGATGCGGCTGCTTGAACGGTGAGCCAGGTGTTGCTGGGTGGTCGAACTGGGCATGCTCTACCATGCCGGGGTCAGTTGGGTTGTAGGACACCATGTGTGCTGCTACATGAGCTCCTCGAATCCGTGTTGTGCGCAGACGCAAGAAGGAGTTCAAGGCCATCACGCCTAGCGTTCTCCTCCGAATCCCAGGGGGCTCATCGTTCTTCAGTTCAGGCGCAAATTACGCCGCGTTCGAGCACAGGAGCATGATGCAGATAATGCCGATATTGGTGGCTGACGAGAGTGCATTGAAGGGTGGAGAGGAGGGAGAGCTGCGTGCTTTACAGGTCAAAGCGTTCCGGCTGTTTGCTGTGTTTTACAAGGCGTTTCTGGGGGTTGACAGGCACACACATACAACAATTGCGATTGCCCGTCAGCATGCGATAGCGTGAGTACATACATGAGTTCATTGAGTGGTTGGTCGGGGTGCTGGGAGCGTGTGCGGTTTGATTGTGCGCCACTGCGGGGTGATACACGATGGTTCATCGAGTGTTGTATGCTTTTGTGGACGGTGTGGCAGGTTGGTGGAGTTGCTACCGCGGGCATTTCCAAAGCAGGCATCCCACTGGAGACTCCCAAAGATACACATGATAAGGCATTTACTGGACAACGTTGTGCACCGTGGGATGCCGCACCATTATTCCACGGAAATGTGGGAGCGCACGCACAAGGGCACGGTTAAGGGTCCAGTAAGAGGGAGCAACTGGAGCGACATTCCACGCCGCATTGTGGAGGAGGAGGTGCAGCGAGAGGTGTACCGTGAAGTGGCTGCAGACGCGGGGGGTGGGCGACAGTACGCGACCGCATTGAGCGAGGTGCGTACGGGTCTTCTTGGTACTGTGATGGCCATTGGGAGTATACAGTGGAGCGGTTTACCAGGGAAGAGCCGTGCCTCAAGCGGTATGCGGTTTGTTGTGGGCATGTGGGCGTCACGTGCAGGCAATCAAGACGAGGAAACCGGTGCTTACAAAGAAGTATCGGATCATGCGCATAGGCGGGGAGTCGGATCCAGTGTACGATGAGTACACCGCCGCGCTTGGAGACGAGATGAAGGGGATGGCCGATGAGTTCAAGGCGTTGGGGCTGTCTACCAACAACGTGCAGGTGAGGTGATGCTGTTGTAGCGTTACATGACGCATCCGGGGTTGTCACGTTGGTTGTCACTGCACTCATGATGCTATGTGATGATGGATTGGGTTCCATGGTGTGACAGGTCCACACGGCGGTGGCCATTCCGCGCACAAGGGGCGGAGAGCTAGTGGCAAAAGGGACATTTGTGAAGGCGTCTCCCCGAGAGAGGTGGTATTCGGACGTGGCACTGCTGAACAACAAGAAGGGAGACTGGTTTGCAAGATGTCTGTGCATCTTCAGGGCGGTTGACCGTGATGGGGAGTGGAAGGGGTACGCATACGTGCGGTACTATGAGGGGGCGGGAATATGCAAGCTTACGGGGTGCAAGCAGCTGCACAAGCAAGTGGAGAAGGTGAGGTACTCGGTGGTGGAGTTGAGGAGCCTGCAGAGAGTGGTGCACGTGTGCCCTTCGTATAGCAACAAGAAGGTGCAATTAGTGAACAGGGTTTTGCTATGTGAGTGACGATGCATGTTGGTGGGGTGGAACGGCAGTGCTGATCCACATGGTTGGCAAACAACACGATATACGATTTAGCTACGTGGAATGCAGGATTGATGGGTACTGGAATGCAGTAGGTAGACGAAAGTGCGCTTGGAATTGATGGTGACATGGGTATGGTGTGTTGCAGTTGGTGAAAGGCCATAGACACGGATGATATAATATGCACACATGTCCATGTCAGTACGATGGCCAATTGTGCATGGGTAGGCCGCACAGATGACGTATGCTCAATGCTAATGCAGGTGTATAAACAGAATGTTAATTGTGCTTGCAGTTTGAATGTCAGGTACATAACGGGTACGAGTACAGTTGACGTTTGTGCGGTCGAGGTTGACGCGCTTCAATGTGTGGTGGTGTGAACGACCGAGCACAGGCCATTGGCTGATCGGTTATGGGTGACGCGTACGTGGCGTCGGGGATGCGCGATGGCCTATCTTCACGTTACGGGTGGGCGTTTCACATGTGTGCGTTATCGTCGAGCGGCGCAGGGGTAGTGTTCTGTTTGTTGTGTGGCGCATGTCAACCGATGTACGCAGTGTGCGTACAGGGGCAAAATGGTGGTACGTTCCGGTAGAGTGAAACATATGTAGTACGGGGTCTTCCGGCCTTCAAAGCATAATTGCCAACCTGGTTGTCAGAGTGCTACAATGGGTGACCTGAAGGGACTGCTGGCTACCGCGCACCCGGACGACGTGTTCTGCTTCCACGAGATTAATTTTCTCCCGAGCCGGCTTCCGAAGACATACATTCCGCATAAGCGCGTTGGGGCGGAGCGGATTGTCAGCGTCGGCATTCTTTACAATGCGACGGGGAGTTGTTCCGCGGTGCCTCTGGTTGTTCTATCGCCGTACGATAGGCCCGAGCGCAGGCGGGGGAGCGCGGCATGTCGCAAGGTGGCCGTCCGGTATACGCATCGCGGGCGGTTGACGCCGGAGGTACTGGACAATGTGTACTCAGTGTGCACCGTGCGTGTTTGACATGTGCATCGTGTGTGCGTACCGTACATATGATGGTGTTGTGCGTTCTGTCTGATGTTGTGCACACAGGTGTTCACGGAGTTCGTGGAGACTGTAAATGGTGTGCACTTTAGCCGTGATCGCAACACCCTCATCCTAACCATTCACGAGGCGCATCGCATCACAGGCGAGGTCGCGCGACCTGTCACGGAGCACGGCTTCAGTGTGCAGCACCTCACCAACACCCGAATCGTCAACATTCGTGGGTCGGTTCCTGAAGGGGGCCTTCCGCACCTGCAGGGAGTGGAGGATGCGCTGAAAGGCCATTACCGCGTTATGCTCATGAAGCGTGCGATAGCGGCGAAGCGGTTCCAGTTCGACTATTCGGCATCCATCGCTGACGTGGATTATGGCCTCATGCTCGAGTGGCTGGGAGAAGCGTGGACTCGCGTGCGCGCAGCAACCATGCAGAGGAGCTGGTGGCGCGCCGGATGCGTGCCCCCGAGCTGGCCGCCACTGATGGCGTACCTGAGTGACACGAGCGCAACGGGCATGTTTGAGCCCCTCATTGCGATATGCGTCGAGCTGCAGTTGCTCATCGAGAAGTTCAAGATGAGGCCTGCGTGCTATATGACGGCGGCCGAGTTCGTCAACTGCGACGCGGGACTCTGCGTGGAGCAGGGGTTCAGGGCCACACCTGCGGCCAGCGCGTCGGATGACTCGTCGGGCGAGATGAGCCTGCCAGACGGCCCACTGCTGCGTGACGAGCGCAGCAGGCGGCGCGTGATTCGCAACGTAACAAATGCGTACGTGGAGCGTGCCGACGCGCTCGGCATTCCCCCGGCCCTCGTGCCAGCAGAGGTCGGAGCATCTAACCAGGAGGTGATTTCCCGCCTCGGCAGGATGCCAATCAAGCGTGCGTGCGCGGGGATGCGCCCTGAGGACGTGCCAGACCCAGCGGTGCGCGAGACTGAGGACGACGAGTGATGCAGTTGCTTGCAGTGGGGCAAAGTAGTGGGAGTTGTGTGTGCGCGGTACCGTACGACTGGTTGACGGGTGTGGGGTTGTCTTGTTGATGTAATAGTGGTTGTTATGGGAGAACATTTGGAATGGAGTTTTCAACCTATGTTTGGCATTTGTGTGTAAGGGTAAACTTTGTTTGCGATAAAAGGTTATACAGTGACAGAATGGACGAACCGCACTTACCATACTGCGGACATTTGTGCGAGAAATTTGAGAGGGGGAGAGCGAATCGGGGTGTAGGTGTGCGCTTCGGGTTTCCGAAAGCTTTGCGGTATTGTTACTGCGTAGTCAATATTTTCCATATGATGTACGCGCGCGTTTTTGGTGGGCGGAATGTTGCGATTTGAGTGCGTTGTTTTCCCGCACCTTTCCGCAACATTCTCGCAAGGCCGACGCAGAAAAACCTTCGGAGGCCAAAAAACGCAGTTTTCCTTTTTCGCGATGGAGTCCTCGGATTTGATTTGGGATATGGTGAGAGCCGGAAGCATTGTTGTTGGGAAGAGCGTGAATGCGCGTCCTCTCCTGTTCTTCCCTCATGCCCGTCACTGCTAGCTTGAGTTGGTCATTGCTCAAATACATGGCTGATAGCTTTCGCTTACTCTTGGCTGGTTATTGTTGTTGGTCACTGTTTTTTTGCTTTTCTTGGCTGCTTACCTTTTCGCTTTCTCTGTTCTTCCCTCTCCTGTTCATCCTCTCCTTTCCCCCTTTCCTCTCCCCCCCTTATCTCCCCCCTCATTTCCTCTCCCCTCCTTACCTTTCCCCTTCTTCACTTTCCCCTCCTTTCCTCTCCCCTCCTTACCTTTCCCCTTCTTCACTTTCCCCTCCTTTCCTCTCCCTTCCTTCAATCTCCACTCTTCCCCCCCTCCTTTCCTCTCTTGTTCTCATTTCCATCCTTTGTTCTAATAATATGTGTTTGCCTGTCCTTCCCTCTGATTATTTTCCCTCTCCTCTCCTGTCCACGTCAATCATTTTCTCTTCTGTCATTCCCTCCTCTCCCTTTCCAAATGTGACTCCTGTCTGCAGTATTCGCAATAGTCACATCTGCACTCGCCATGCCAGCTCTCGCTGGAGTCACCTCCGCTGGCGTCACACCCATCAGCAGCACCGGTCAGTCAGGGAGCGCCAGTTCGCCTCGCAAGCTGCTGCTGCGAGCCTCCAATCCCAGGCAGCTGGACGAATTAAACCCAGATGGCTGCACTGACGGGGATGGCAACATCGGCGATGGTGACGGCAGTGGTGACGGCAGTGGGGACGGCAGTGGGGACGGCAGTGGGGACGGCAGTGGGGACGGCAGTGGGGACGGCAGTGGGGACGGCAGTGGGGACGGCAGTGGGGACGGCAGTGGGGACGGCAGTGGGGACGGCAGTGGGGACGGCAGTGGGGACGGCAGTGGGGACGGCAGTGGGGGCGGCAGTGGGGGCGGCAGTGGGGACGGCAGTGGGGACGGCAGTGGGGGCGGCAGTGGGGACGGCATTGGTGACGGCAGTGGTGACGGTAGCAGCAATGCCGACAACGGCAGTGGCGACAACGGCAGTGGCGACGGTGGCAGCAGCAGCAGTATGGACGTGGCAGCCATTCTGGAGGAGCACAACAAGGCGCGGCGGGAAGTGGGTGTGCCGGACCTCTCATGGGACGACGGGGTTGCAGCAGCAGCGCAGGATTGGGCGAATAACCTTGCCTCGAGGGGATGCATCATGGAGCATGGAGGAGCGGAGGGGCTTGGGCAGAACCTGTACTGGAAGGGCCCTGTGCAGCTCAACAGTGACGAGGACCGGGCGGCGGTGCAGTCGTGGGTGGCGGAGCAGGCGGACTGGACGTACAGCCCCGTGCCGGAGGGGTGTGCGGATGGCAAGCAGTGTTTGCACTACACACAGGTGGTGTGGCGGGATACCACACAGGTGGGGTGCGGTGCTGCCCAGTGTGCGGATGGGGGAGGCATGTGGGTGTGCGACTACTCCCCGCCAGGCAATATGGTTGGGTCGACTCCTTTCTAAAGCCTGGAGCGGTGCGCAAACGTAAAATTTCAGCGAAATTAATAACAAAATAATAAATGAGGCATATTGAAAGAACATTGGCCCATCTTCTCATGTGGGGGTTGATGTGGAAGTGATGCATTGGCCCCTGTTCTGCTTCTACAGCTGCTGTTGTGTCTGGGCTAGGCTACTCTTGTGTTAGCAATTTCTCCATGATTTTAAGAAGGCAATCAACCACAACTTAGAGCGTGTTCCTATCAGGCAACTGTCAAATGTGGTAGCCTATAGTGAGGTTTGTCTTAGGGAGTACAAAAGTTAGGGTTAGCTACTTGTACCCCAACCAACATGAATGCATCATCAATTCCTCAGTTTGACATGGTATCACCTAGGTTCGGATCCTGTGGGATCCCGCTCCTCCCGTCCTTGTTCGTTTCTTCCGAGCCTGTCTCACTCGTTTCACACGTCTTTCCCGAGCCTAGTGCCGGCCCGATCTAGTCCCGTTCGTTCGTTACCGCTCGTTCTTCCTCCCGATCTAGCGTAGCCCGATCCAGTGTAGCCCGATCTAGCGTACCGCTGCCGGTCGCGCTGCGCTTTCCCCCGCTGCCCGTCGACCCGCGCTTCCCCCCGCTGCCCGTCGACCCGCGCTTCCCCCCGCTGCCCGTCGAATCGCGCCTCCCCCCCGCTGCCCGTCGCCCAGGCCCGCGCCCTAGCCCGTCGCCCAGGCCCGCGCCCTAGCCCGTCGCCCTGGCCCGCGCCCTAGCCCGTCGCCCAGGCCCGCGCCCTAGCCCGTCGCCCAGGCCCGCGCCCCAGCCCGTCGCCCTGGCCCGCGCCCTAGCCCGTCGCCCTGGCTCGCGCCCTAGCCCGTCGCCCTGGCTCGCGCCCTAGCCCGTCGCCCAGGCCCGCGCCCCTGCTCGTCGCCCTAGCCCGCGCCCTAGCCTGTCGCCCAGGCCCGCGCCCTTGCCCGTTGCCCAGGCCCACGCCCCAGCTCGCGCCCTATAACGTCGCCCTAGCCCGCACCCCAGACCGTGCCCTAGCGCGTCGCCCTAGCCCGCGCCTTAGCCCGTCGCCCTGGCCCGTGCCCCACGTTCGTTTTACACCGCTGCGTCCGCTCCCGTTGCGCGCCGCTTCGTCCGTTCGTTTTTGCTATGGCGACTCAGCGTGTTCTTCGTTTCGACGCTGACGGTAGACCTCTTGACTTTTCCGTCTGGCTTCTTCGCGCTCGCCGTCTGTTAGAGAGTCAGGTCCAGGCAGGCGAGACCCTCTGGGCGCACGCTACTGGTGCCCTCCCTGCGCCCCCCGACCCTACGCCTTTAGGACCTGCCCCTGACGACGCCGCTAGAGCTCACTTTGCCACCCAGCGAGCTGACCAGACGGCTTGGACGTCGCGTGACGCTGCGGCCTGCATCGCGCTCAGCAGCCTCCTCCCTGAGTCTGAGGAGGTTCACTTCACTCAGGTTCGCACCGCTGCTGAGTACCTCACTGCGATTAAGGCCCGCTACTCTACTCCCGCTACTGTCTCTCTTGGCCGCCTTTTCCTCCCGTTCCTGTTCCCTGACCTTGCGTCTTTTGAGCGCTCTGCTGACTTGATCACTCACCTCCGCTCGCTCGACGCTAGTTACCGCGCTGCTTGCACTGAGGCACAGCTTGCACTGCTTCCTCCCCCTATGGCGATTACTATCTATTTCATCGCCACTAGCCTCCCTGACCGCCTTGCCTCCGTTCGCGACGCGCTTCTGCTGAAGCACCCTAGTGAGCTCACCGTCGAGGTCCTTGAGTCTGCGCTCAAGGACGTCGAGAGCAACCTTCGCTCGGTAGCCGCTGCCTCTGGTGCTGTGCCCCCCCCCACTCTTCCACGGGTGCACAGTCCCGCAGTTACCCACCTTTACTGCCTCTCTCGCCACTGCCGCTACTGACGCGACTGCAGCTGCTGTTACGACTGCGTCGCGGTCCCGCGGTAGGGGTGGCAAGAAGGGCGGTTCTGGTGGTGGTGGTGGTGGAGGCGGAGGTAGTGGAGGTGGCGTTGCGACTGGCGGTGGTGGGAGTGCAGGACCTGGAGAGACGTCTCGTGCAGCGACAGGTGACTCTACTGCGCCTGCTGGTGGTGGCGACGCCCGAGTTCGTCAGTCGCCTCCCGTACTGCCGGCCCCGGTGGGTGGAGCAGCGGCGTGGTACCAGGCCCAGCGTCAGCAGCAGCAGCCCCTCTCCTCCCAGCAGCCTCAGCAGCAGCAGCGGCCGCAGCTGGCTCCGGGGTCGGGGCTGCATCTGCCCCAGCGCGGTGTTGCTTACCCTCCCTGCACCTATCAGGTTCTGACAGGTCCTCGCCGAGGCCACCCTTGTGGCCGCTTTCACCCCCTAGTCAATGTTTTGCTCAGCTCACTGACACGGTTCGTTTGGTCTACGGGGTTGGCGGTCCTGCCCCTGACTGGCTTCCTCTTGTTCAGCGTTACGGCTCCGCTCTGTGGGGCATGTCTGCTGAGCAGTTGGTAGATCTGATTGGAACTCCTCATGCTATGTATGCTGTTGTTGACTCTAGTGCTTCTGACTCTGTTTACTCTGGTGTTGTTAGCTTAGGTGCTAGCCTTGCTCAGTTGCCTGTTGCTAGTGTAGGTTCTTGTGTAGACTCTAGTCCAGCGCCTACCTCGGAGGACACTTCGCTGTCGTTCACGCTGGACTCTGGAGCCTCGCACTGCTTCTTTCGTGACAGCACGACACTTACACCACTTCCTGCACCTGTCTCCGTGGCGTTGGCTGATCCCACCTCGGGACCAGTCATTGCGCGTCACACTACCACCTTGCCGTGTCCTGCTGCTCCCTCCGGGTCTCTCACTGGGTTTCACGTCCCCTCGTTCTCCCGGAACTTGGTGGGCGTGCGACCCCTCGTGAGTCAGCACGTGGGTGTGTGGTTTAGCGGAGAGACTGCGGTGTGTGTTGACGGAGACTCTTACCAGCCGCTGGCCACCTTTACTGCTGAGCCGGGCTCCGGTCTCTACACTCTTCACACTGGCCCGCTGGCGCAGCAGCAGCCGCAGCAGCAGCAGCAGGAGACGCCGCAGTAGCCGCAGCGGCAGCCGCAGCAGCAGCCATTCCTACTGCCCCCGGCCCCTGTACCGCCCTCCGCTCGAGTCCCCGCGTCTCACCAGGTTGCTCCTTCCCCCCAGGTAGCTGTGTCTGGTCAGGTTCCTGCGTCTGGTCCAGTCGCTGCGTCTTGCTCCTGCCGGTCCCTTGCCCACCCCACCGTCCTGTGGCACCACCGGATGGGGCACCCGTCCATTCCTCGTCTGCGCGCTATGTCTCGTCAGCGTCTTGTCTTAGGCCTCCCGCGTGTCTTGCCGTCGCTGCCGCCTTCGCTTGCGCCGCCGTGCGGTCCCTGCGTCGAGGGTCGGCTGCGCGCCACCCCTCACTCCTCCTCCCTTCGTCCGGCCACCGAGCCTTTTGAGACGCTCCACTTGGACGTCTGGGGCCCCGCCCCTCGTCAGGGCCTTGAGCGTGAGCGTTTCTTTTTTGTGGTCGTTGACGACTACTCCCGCTACACCACAGTGTTCCCCCTGGCGAAGAAGTCTGAGGTGACTTCTACGCTAATCAGGTGGTTGCTTACCACGCAGGACACTCGTGGTCGTTGTGCCAGCTGTCTCCACTCCGACCGCGGGGGTGAGTTTCGCTCCGGCATTCTCGCTGGATTCTGTCGCGAGCAGGGCATTCGTCAGTCCTGGACGCTTCCAGAGTCCCCACAGCAGAATGGGGTTGCTGAGCGCCGCATAGGCTTGGTCATGGAGATCGCCCGCACCTCCCTGACTCACGCCCGTGCCCCCCATTTTCTGTGGCCCTACGCGGTCAGGTACGCCGCGCACCAGCTGAACCTCTGGCCACGCGTCTCTCGGCCAGAGGCTTCACCGACCAGTCTTTGGACCGGGTCCCCTGGTGTTGCGTCGAGGTTTCGTGTCTGGGGGTGCTTGGCTCTTGTCCGCGACACCTCCGCAGACAAGCTCTCGCCTCGCGCCGTTCCTTGTGTCTTCCTTGGTTTCCCTGAGGACTCCTCTGACTTCACCTTTTACCACCCTCCCTCTCACCGGTTCTTTGACTCCCGTGACGTCCGTTTCGAGGAGTCCACCCCCTACTACGTCAGGTACCCCAGTCGAGGTCTCCCGGTCCCTCCCCCCCCTCTCTTCCTGACCGCCGTCCCCCCTCCTGCTCCCCTGGTACAGCCTCCCCCCCCTGGTCCAGCCCCGTCCGGTGTGTCCCAGGCTACCCCTCCCCCTTCGGTAGCCCCTCCGGTACAGCCTCCCTCCCCACAGTCTTCCTCGCCGCGTCCTGCAGGTGCTCGCTCTAGAGAGGTTGGTACTGAGACAGTTCCTGTACCGGTTTCTGGTTCTGGGGGTGCTGGAGTTGGAGCTGAGCCGCGGGTTGCAGAGGACTCTCGTCTTCCGGGAGCTGGTGCTGGTCGTGCGGAGTCTGGGGGTGCTGCGTCTGGGGGTGAGGGTGAGACCCCTTCGGTTTCTGGTGCGTCTGGGTCTGGAGCTGGTGCTAGTGCTGACTCTCGGGGTGGTGCGCCTGGTGCTTCGGAGGTGGACTCTGGGGCTGCCGCTGCCCCGGACACTACTACTACCCCCCACCCCTACCCGACCAGGTTCCAGGCTCGCGCTCGCCGTGCTCGTGAGGAGCAGCTGGAGTTAGAGAGAGAGGAGCGAGAGTTGCAGCGGCTGGAGGAGCAGGAGCGGCAGCAGCAGCAGCAGCAGCAGCAGCAGTAGCAGCAGCAGCAGCAGCAGCAGCTACTGCCGCCGCCTTGACTTTGCCTCTAACCGCCGCATTGACTTCGCCACCGGTCTTGTGGCTGCTCCTCCTTCCAGTCCTCTGGCCGTCAGGGGTGTGTCTGCCCTTGGCTGTGACGCCCTAGAGGACAGACAGTTTGAGCTAGAGTTCCTGGCAGCCGCTTCCCCTCATCTCTGTGCCATGCTCCTCGCCCCTGAGGGTGACCCAGACGCCCTTGACATTCCGACTCCTCGCACTTACGCTGAGGCAGTGTC